CCTTCACTTGCTCCCTTTTATATTATTAATATCTACCTATTCTACTTCCTCTTAGGACGATTTGAGAAAGTCCATCATTCCATTTTTCCTGTGATATACAAGGAAACAAAAACATGGACCTAATTATCTTGAATGAGAGGAAATAAGTAAAAGTAATCATGACAGCAAAGCAGTCTTCTTTTCCAGAAAAAAAAAAAAAGAAAAAGAAAAAAGAAAAAAAAAGCCTGTTAACTTTGGTGTCAAGATTATATGAAATAGTATCTAAGTAAATCTTAACCTTTCTGAAATTCATGATATTAAATAAGGCTTGTTGGAAATGAATTATTTTGTACACATTGGAAATTTTATGGTTAGTTTAATGCCACTGAATTTAATTACCTTAAATTGTCAGTTGCACATCATTATACTTTGGTAAACCCTCCTCAGAGAGCTTTTAGCTCTGAACAAAAATGAGAAGTCCCTCTAAATTACAAGATCAATTGGATTAATTTATTAGGTGGAAAAAACTTAGGCACAAAGGAATAGATCCTTTATTAGCAGAAATTTTAAATATTACAAAATCATAAAGGAATTGATCCTACCATGGAGGAAGAGCAATCACTAAAATGTCCTTTTTTTATCTTAGTCATTTGTGTGTGCTTTGAACAAAACTAGGAATTTCTATCTACAAAATTAGACAATAAAACACTTCCTTTCTAGCTACTTTTGCATAGTTAATTCTGATTTGTTTTTATAGCTCATTGGCCTTTTAAAAAAGATTTACAGAGAATTTTATATTTTACCTTGCTTTCCTGACAATTGCATTTTTCTATACAATGTTATGCTCAGAAGTAATATCCTTTTAAATAATTTATACTTCAACAGATCTCTTAGTCTTTATCTTTCATCGTATGTATTTTCTGAGAGTGCCTTTTAATTCAAATTTAATTAAACAAATATTTACTGAATAACCACCTGGTACAAGACTTTATGTCAGACCTGCAAAAAAACTAGGAATATAGAAATAAATGGATTAGTGGCTGCCAGAGCCTGGGGAGAGAATTGAGAAGTGATTATTTAATGGGTATGAAATTTCCTTCAGGATGATGAAAACGTTCTGAAACTACATAGCAGTGATGGTTGTACAACATTGTGAATATACTAAATGAAACTCTAATATGCACTTTAAAATGATTAAAGTGATAAATGTGTATTTTACTAGAATAAAAATTTCAGGCAAGA